ATATTTATTCACCCAAACCATATTTGGTATCAATGTTATACCTAACACCGCCACGCCCACCAAGCCACGCCCTCAGAACACTACAGCCACCAAGCCATGATCGGCTGGGTCTTCTTTGGTTGCCCTGCACAGGAGAACGGAGCTGGAAAGCAGATTAGTGGGGTGGGGAGGGAAGGGGGGTTTTGCAGTATATCCTCCCCTGCCATGCCCACCATGCCACACCTACCAAGCCATGTCATGCCCACCAAGCATGCCATGCCCACCAAGTCACACCCACCAAGCCACGCCCACAGAACTGTTAGTTAAAAAAAATTTGAATGCCACCCCTGGTTCGAATGTCTCCTGACTCCTTACCTGCTGGGGGTACCCAACCCAACATTCACGGAGATCCCACAACCAGGGCTTCTGCAAGAAGACAACATTTTGTTAGGAATCCTGTCACACCCAGCCCACCATCTATTTATTTATTTATTGATTTGATTTGTCAATTGTTTACAAGATAATAAGTATAAGTGTATACATAGTTATGAATACATGAAATGGGTACATATAAGAAAAATAAAAGAAGAATAAAAGAAACAATAGGACAGGGACGGTAGGCACGTTGGTGCGCTTATGCACGCCCCCTAGAAACCTCTTAGGAAAGGGGTGAGGTCAATAGTAGACAGTCTAAGGTTAAAGTTTTTGGGGTTTGGGGAAGAAACCACAGAGTCGGGTAGAGTATTCCAGACATTGACCACTCTGTTGCTGAAGTCGTATTTCCTGCAATCAAGTTTGGTGCGGTTAACCTTGAGTTTGCATCTATTGTGTGCTCTTGTGTTGTTATGGTTGAAGCTGAAGTATTCATTGACAGGTAGAGCATTGCAATGTATGATTTTATATACCATACTTAAATCAGACCGAAGACAGCGTAATTCAAGGTTTTCTAGTTCTAGAATTTCAAATCTGGTGGCATAAGGTATTCTACAACGAGTAGAGGAGCGGAGAACTCTTCTTGTGAAATATTTCTGGACTTTCTCAATTGTGCTAATATTATCAGATACGTAATGTGGGTTCCAGACTGATGAGCTGTATTCGAGTATTGGTCTAGCAAATGTTTTGTATGCTCTAGTTAGTAGTGTGAGATTACCAGAGAAAAAGCTACGTAGGATTAGGTTAACAACTCTTAATGCCTTTTTGGCTATGTAGTTGCAGTGGGCTCTAGCACTTAGATCATTAGAGGTGAGTATTCCAAGGTCCTTTACAGAGCTTGGATCATCAACAAGATCTTGACTATTCAGCTTGTATTTTATTTTCTGATTTTTTTTGCCAATATGTAAGACAGAGCATTTATTTGTTGAGATTTGAAGTTGCCATTTGTTTGACCATTCTGATACATAGTCAAGATCTTTTTTAAGGGTAGCAGTATTGTCTGTGGTATTGAACAGCTTTACATCATCAGCGAAAAGAACGCAGTTGCTCTTAATATGATCACAGAGGTCATTTATGTAGAGTATGAAGAGAGTTGGTCCTAGAACACTGCCTTGGGGGACACCACTATTGACAGGTACAGAATTTGATAGGACACTCCCAATTTTGACCATTTGTTGTCTGTTTGACAGGAGAGATGGTTTTAGATTGCGAAGTGCTTTTTCAACATTGTCTTCTGTAAAATCGATATGTATTAGATCATTGTAGTTATCTGTGGTTCGGCTAGGAAATACTGGGCATGATCCATTGCTGTTTACAAATACTGAGCCGAAGAATGTGTTAAAGATGTTGGCTTTAATGGTGTCGTCGTTGCAGTCTTTACCATTAGGTCCTATTGGGTGGGATGGACCTTGAGTCTTTTAGTTTGTTGTTTACAAAATTGTAAAAAGCACGGGTGGAATTGGTGCTTAGAAGGTTTTCCTCTTGTTTAATGTGATAATTGGTGCATTCAGTCTTTATCTGGTGGCATAAATTTTTGTATCGGCTTTTGAAATTGGCAACGTGACCAGATTTGTTTTTCCGCCAGAGTGATCTCTTTTTGGATTGAAGTTTCCTTCAATCCAAACAGGGTAATCTGTTTTTTTGTTTTGTTTTGGGAGTTGTTGTTGGTACATATAGTTTGATGACTCTTTTGACTTCAAGTAAAAATATGTTGTAATGGTCTTCAACAGTATTGCATCCAGTGAATAGAGATTGCCAATCAAGGGATGAGAGATCGTTGTCTATAAGATCATAGTTGCCTTTTTTGAAGTTATAATTGGGGATTACGTCATCCTTTCTCTGGAGCTCCCTTTGACGGGGAGAATGGAAGGGAAAGGAGAGCACAAAGCCACTGCCGTCGCTAAGGTATTTGAAACAGGTTGAAAAAAACAGAGCTGCAAGACCCCGTTCTGCAATTCCCCATGTTTTTCTCATCAAAAAGGGGAATAATCGATATCAGGGAAGGAGAAGGTCCCCAGCTGTATTACACAGTGATGGAGGGTTGGGTTGTTGGTTTTTGGCCAACAAACCAGTAAAGTGGGGAAAGTTGGAACTCACGTTGTAAAGGATGGCCAGCGCCATGCAGAAGGAAGTGGCATAGTAGGTGGCCCTCCAGCTGGAAAACAATAAAATAAACTTAAATTTAAAAACCCATCAGGGCACATTGGACCGCCGGATGGAAGATTCAAGGAGTCTAGAGTTGTAAGGGAATATAAAGATTCCTTACTAACACTGATGATGTCACCTAGCTGGGTAATGAAAGGTCCACAAGAAAACAGTCACGCTCAGGGAGCCCCAAGGATCCAGACCTCCTCCTCCTCCTCCCTGCAACCCCCACTTTTTCTAGCACTGATGAGGTTACCTAGTTTGGTAATGAAATGTCTGCAAAAAAACAACAACTACCAAGCTCAGAGAACCCCAAGGACCCTACATTCTTCCTCTTCCTCCTCCTCCTCCCTGTAACCCCCACTCACCTGGTTTCACAGAACTTCTTGGTCAAGCTGGGCCGGTCCTGATTCAGCCTGTATCGGAACCACCTCTCTACCTGTCTTGGTTGCAGGTTGCACTGCTTGGCTAAGGTGCTGAGGTCTTCCTGGAAGGCAGGAAGCAGAAACAGGTGAGAAAAGCATCCCAGCCAAAGTCCAAGACCACTTGGCTGGGGAAAGCAATAGGCTCCAATTTTTTTAATGGTTTTAATGGGGAGAGAGAATGAGAGAGAGAGAGAGAGAGAGAGAGAAAGAGAGAATGAGGATTGAGAGAATGAGAGACGGAGAGAGATTGAGAGAGAATGAGAAAGAATGTGAGAGAGAATGAGAGAGATTGAGAGAAAATGAGATTGAGAGAATGAGGATTGAGAGAATGAGAGACGGAGAGAGATTGAGATCGAGAAAGAGAGATTGAGAGAGAATGAGAAATTGAGAGAGAATGAGAGAGATTAAAGAGCTTGAGAGAAAACGAGAATGAGAGAATGAAAGAGAGAGAGAGAATGAAAGCCAGAATGAGAGAGAGAATGAGAGAGAGAAGAGAAAGAGAGAATGAGAGAAAGAATGAGAGAGATTGAAAGAGATTGAGAAAAAATGAGATTGAGAGAATGATGGAGAGAGAGAATGAAAGAGAATGACAGAAAATGAGAGAGAAGAGAGAGAGAATGAATGGGAGGGAGGGGGTGTTTAACGCATCATATAGCGTTTCAAAAATCCTAGGAAATCCCCTTACTCCCATTTCTGAATTTGACCCCTTCTGGCATGTTAGAATTTGTGAATAACCCACTGGGGTTATCCCATTTTTTAACAGCACATCTGAAGCGTCTCGCGCTGGAGAAATCTGACTTCAGCAGATTCTGCTTGAGAAAAGAAATTAATCCCAAGTCCTCAGCCTTACAACTGCTGCTTCATGTGTGTTACACTCCTGCATACTTTTGCACACCCAGAGACCAGGGACTTTAATTGGATTCAGCACTTCATAAACCCATTTTATGCTTAAGTCATAATAAGCATATTTAACCAGATTAAAACTTTTAGTTCAGGGTGTTTTTTTTTCTCCCAATTCTTTACCCCACATTGCCTTTTGAGATTTCAATTTTTTCCTCTAGTCTCCCCAAAAGTGCTTTTTTTTTCAAGAGGCAACTGAACTTTCTTTTTTTTTTTATTTGAAGAAGTTTTTGCTTCTCCTCCAAGAAGCTTCTGACTGGATGGCGGAGAATGGAAGGATTTATACTCCTTGCGGACAGCTGGTCATTTGCATCCTTTTGAGAGGGTCGTTGAGGCCACTTGGAGATTGGTCTGTGTCCCTCGGGGTCACCTGAGTAGTGCAAATAGGTGTGGAGCCTTCTTGGAACTACTGAAAGGACTGTGTTGTACACTGGACATGGATGAGGTCGTCAGCAGTTTCAAGAAGGCTCTGCACCCATTTGTACCACTGGAATGACCCTGAGGACACAGACAAACCTCCAAATGGCCTCAATGCTCTCTAAAAGGATGCAAATGACTAGCTGTCTGCAAGGAATATAAATCCTTCCCTTCCCCTCAGCTCTTCAGTCAAAGCTGAAGAAGTTTCTTGGATAAGAAGCAAAACATCTTCAAAAGAAAACCCAGACAGTCCAGTTGCCTCTTGAAAAAGCTCCTTTGGAAAAGGGAGTTTAGCCGGCTAGGGAAGAGAGGTGCGATTTCTCTCGACCCTGCCAGATCCCCCTGTCTTCACCTTCTACGGGGCGGCTTAGCCCTGAAGCCGGGTGGCTCAGGGCATTCCAGCGGCGAGCGCAGGCAGAAACCACGCACGATCGCGGATTCCTGCCTGTCCTGAAGCGCTGCAAACCGGAACTCCTCTTGAAAAAGCTCCTTTGGGACAACCATGACTTGGATGGCTGAGAATCTCCATAGACTCACTAGTCTTTAGCCTTTCGATCCACTCATGGTCTCCTATCATGGACTAAGTATGGTCAGATTTTTAAGTGCTACTTTACAAAGCCCCTGAAAAACAGGAGTATTTTATCCAAGGCCAGATCTGTCATGCCCTTGTTGGAGTCTGACTCTGAGGGGAGCTGACAGGGAGTGGGAGTGTGGCTCCGGAGGAAACAGAGGAAGGGCACAGTCTGGCTGGGCATTCAAAGGAAGACCCAGGGCCAGCCCCTCTTCATCCTAGGGCATGCAGGGAGGAATGGAGAAGGGAGCAACATGGCTTATGGGAGAGGAAAGGGCCCTGATCCCTTTCATTAGTTGCAGCTGAGGGAACAGGATATAAGAAGGGTGTTTGCACACAGCACCTTGCTGGAAGCAAAGCATGCATTATCTTTGTCGAGGCTTATATGGGTTTTGGCGTCCTCCCAACTGTGTGTGCTTCGTTATCTTTTGGAAGTCTGCAATTTATTATCCTGGCCTGTCGTGTTAATTACTTTAGCGTGGTTTGTGTTGGTTTTTTTATTTCTAATTTATCTGTACTTTGAGTTCGGACTGCATTTCCTCCCTTTGTAGACTGTTTTTGGAAGAGTTTGATCTCCAGCTGAGGATAACTGGACATTGGGAGCCAAGTTGTAGGTGTTAAAGGGACTTTACCTATTTTTGTGACTTTGTTGCTTTTGTGCCATGCCCTGGGTCATCACAAGATGTCTATGGAGATTCTCAAGCCATCCAGGTCATGGTTTTCCAATCCATCTACGGTTGGGACATCCAAGGCTGGAGTTTGAGCCACCCCTTCCAACACCACGAGAACAAAACTCACCTTGGTGGGAGTTTTCCTCCGTTTCCTGTAAAAAGCTTCCAGGGTGGGGTTCAGAGAAGGTATCCGCCTCACCTTTTCTCGCAAACCTAGTCGTTTGCTCAAGGAGACACCAATTTTCCTGAGAAAAGGAACAGGTTGGGTTAGACAACTGGTGTCAGGATTCCGGCAGTTGCCCCCATTTAAATCATGAGTCTCGAGCCAAACTTCCAAAACTCAAAAAGGATTTATTGGGAGTTAACATGCCGGCACTGCCTGGGTGTAGCCGACTCTGAGACACATCATTCACTGTCACCCTTGACCCTGGTTTTCCCTCCACCTCCTGGGTGTGTCATAAATCATATTCTCCAATGGGACACATCCATAGGCCAGAGTCATTAATTATGCTCTCCAGTTAGAATTTTGCACGGCAGAAACTTCAGTCACCTAGTTACTATCTTTGAAAACATTTATGGAATGCACTTCGATTTGCAAGCTGCCGCACTGCTCCCCCCTCCTCCCTTTCTGTTGGCAACTCTAAAAAGACCAGAGAAATATTTTATGAGTTGACAACTGGATTGAGTTAGTCAAACCCTAAATTTAACCGGTCCTTGGCTTTCTCGTTTCATGCACCACTTAAGAACAGGCCTAGAAAGCCAAACAAAGAAAACAAGACTGATGAATATAACCTTTCCCTCCCCCCCCCCTTTTAAGTGAAATATAGCACACAAATCATAGCAATGCTTATATACAGGTAATTCTAAACTTAGAACTCCAATGGGGCTGAGAATGGATCTGGGATTGGGGTTCTTGAGCCCAGGGAGAATGACCACCTTGGATGTGGTGGCACTGCCCCAAACAGACCCTGTGTGTAATCTGGGGGGATAATTTCTCCTGGACCCGAACAGAGCAGGTGGCAGTCATGGCCAGGAGGGCCTTTGCACAACTGCAGGTTGTTGCGCCAGTTACACCCTTTCCTGGACCGGCAATCCCTTGTCACGGTCACTTGTGCCCTCGTCACCTCCCGTCTTGACTATTGTGATGTGCTCTACATGGGGCTGCCCTTGAAGAGCATCCGGAAGCTCCTGTTCTGACCCAGGCTTCGTCAAACATAAATAAACAAAAACTTGTTTTTAAAAGTAAAACCTATTTTAATGCAATGCTGGGAATTATTTTCATTCACAGCCAGAACTAATTGTAAACAGTTCCCCAAGATAAGCACACGCCTTTCAGTTCTGTGGAATGCTGTCAAAAACAGAAGTATCCGATTAATTATAACAGTATCAGAAAAAAAAACCGAACAGAATACACAGAGCTTCAAGGAAGACACAGAATCTATTGAACTACTTTGCTCCCTGCAAAGGTTTCATCATCGAGGTCTGACTTTTATCCTTTATGGGAGGGGCCATCACCTCCAAGCCTTACTCCCGAGTTGCCTCATTTGTCTCAGCTGCTCTCACCTTCTAGCACAGGGGGGGCAAACTACGGCCCGCGGGCCACATCCAGCCCGTTGGTCTGTCTAATCCGGCCCGCCTCTGAAAAAAATCGCTGGGCATGGCGTATTGCTCTGCGCCGCATGGCCCCCAAAGCTGCAAAACAGCGCGGAGCGCTCTCGGGGTAGGAAAGAAAAGAAGAGAGGCACACAATGCCAGCACCCGCCCGGCCGATGCCTCTGTCGAAGGTGGCGGGAGCAGCAGACGGGACAGCCAGCGGCGAAGTTTCCTAACTCGCCTCTCCATCCCTGGCTGGCGTGCGTCTCCTGCGCGAGGCACTTTCCCGGGCGCCAGGAGGAACACGCTCCGACTATTATTTGCGGGTCCTCTCCCCGCGCTTCCTTCCCCCACCCCTCCCCTCCCGCCCAATATGGCAAAGGTTCAGGTGAACAATGTCGTGGTGCTGGATAACCCTTCGCCTTTCTACAACCCCTTCCAGTTCGAAATCACCTTCGAGTGCATAGAGCAGGGGTCCCCAACCACCGGGCCCCGGACCGGTCCCGGTCCATGGATCACTTTGTACCGGGCCGCAAAGAAATAAAAATAAAAAATAAAATAAAAATGGCGGCTTTCTTCGCCTTCGGTGAATGCTGCTGGGATCATGGATCAAGGACACAAAGGAGAGAAGGGGAGGGAGGAAGCAACCAAAGCCTGTCCTGCTCTCCAGCTCAGCGGCTTCGGTTTCCTCCCGCCTCGTTCCTCTCTCAGTCGCTCTCTCACTCCTCCACCAACCCAGGAAGAAACTGCTTCAAAGAAGCCAGCAGGGTGGCTTTCTGTCGGCGCAGCTCCTCTGAAGCGCCCATTCACCCCCACCCAGCCGCCCATGGTTTAATCCAGTGCTCCGTTCTGCCTGCCTGCCTTCGTTTCTGGTTGTTTTGGAGCAGCTTTGGCTGAGAATAATAACTATTCGCCTCTTTTTCTCAGCCGAAGCTGCTCCGAAACAACCAGAAACGAAGGCAGGCAGGCAGAACGGAGCACTGGATTGAACCGCGTGCGGCTGTGTGGGGGTGAACGGGCGCTTCGGTGGAGCTGCACCGACAGGAAGCCACCCTGCCGGCTTCTTTGAAGCAGTTTCTTCCTGGGCTGGTGGAGAAGCGAGAGAGCGACTGAGAGAGGAACGAGGCAGACACCTGAGGGATGAGCGGGAAGGGTTCCGCCCGGCGGGCAGGCTGCTTGGAGGAGGCGACCTGGCGGCGCTCCGGGTTTCCCCTCCGCCGCGCGGCTCGGGGCCAGGCGCGAGCGCCCGAGAGGAAAAAGCAAGCCGCAAGTTGCTGGGAAGTTGCTCGGGTGCTGGGAGCCGCCGTCGTGGTGAGCGCCTCGTCGGGTGCGTACATGAGGAGGAGGGCTTTTAAAGTGCCGCCCGAGCAGGACCGCCGAGCCGGGAAATGGGGCACCAAGGCAGGGCAAGGCTCCACCAGCAGCGGCCTAGCTTTAGGTGGGCTTGGATGCCCCTGAGCGCGGTTTGCTGTTTGTTCTCTCCGGGACTCGCGTTTGGAAAGCGTGGAAAGTAGTAGCAGGAGCAGCCGCGGTGTTACTTTTTCTTATATATAATATATATATATATATTATATATATATATATTATATATATATAATATTCTTATATATAATTTGCTGCATTTTATAATAGGCCCTTTATAATGGCCTTTTATAAAATTGGTTCGGCCCTCGAACGCAGATCTGATTTTCCATGTGGCCGACAGAAATTAATTGCCCACCCCTGTTCTAGCAGCTCTGCACATACATGCACTGGGAACAGGCTCCCCTCATTCCTCTGACTTGCTGCTGCCAGACTCCGAAGGCTCCGGAGGTAGCACCCCATTCCCAGATGGTCCTGGCCCCATATCTGCATCGGACGCAGTACTTTCATCCAAGTCCTTTCCAGACTCCCTGACTGGTCCCCTTTCTTCCTCACTGTCCAATACCGCTGCCATCTGCACCGGCTGCCGTCGAACCACAACAGTTCCATTTTGTGCAATATGCAGCAGCCCGCATGGTTTTGTGCAGACCCTGGTGTACACATGCATCACCTCTCCTGCGGGACCTGCATGGGTTACAGGTTTGCTCCCGGGTGCAATTCAAGGTATGCTGGTTGTCACTTTTAAAGCCCTTCATGGCTTGGGACCAAGCTATCTGAGGGAATCGTCTCTTGCCGGTCACATCTACGTGACCCATCAGAGCGAGGAGGCAGGGAATGTTGCGGGTCCCATCCCTGAGGGAGATACACCTGGTAGGATCCAGAAGGAGGGCCTTCTCCGTGATAGCTCCCTCTTTCTGGAATATCATTCCCCCAGAGATTAGAATGGCTCCCACTCTAATACCCTTCCAGAAGGTGCTGAAGACCTGGTTCTGCCAGACAGCCTGGGAAACTCTGAGTGGGATGGAGTCCATTAAATGGTTAGTAAGCATGTGTATTGTCACCGGGGTGGGTGGTGGAGGGTTTATCTTAGGTGCACACTTTAAAAATCAGGGTAGGGCTCATTTTCAGGGTAGGTCTCATTTTCAGGGCAGGGCTCAGCTAATTTTCAGGGTAGGGTTCATTTTCAGGAAAACACGTTAGGTCAGAAAGCATCAAAATGCCAGGTTCAATTTCCCTCGCTTCTTATTTTTGTAAGTCGATAACATTCTGTTTTCAAAAACGATGGCTCAAGGCATGGGGTAAAAAACAACAACACAGGATGTTCTGCTGTTTCAAGCTTTTGAACGGAAAGGGGGAGGAAAGTTTTCTCCAAATGGTTGGAGAAATGGTCTCTCCTCCTCCTCCTGCTCCGAGTTGGTTTCGGCTGGCCAAGAACTTGTGTGATGTCCAGACAGTATATAGGTAATTGGGAATTGAGATAGTTAAGTTAGAATTGGGAGCTGTCCCCTTAAGGGAATGCCTCATGGTAAATGTAGTTAAGGCATCCTGGGAAGTGTAGCTCATGTCATGCGGTCACATCTGTAATCCTGATTGGTCACTGAATTGACCCTTGGTTGGGTCGATTTACTCCTGCTTGGACCCCAGCAGCATGCTGGTGCCTCACCCTTTGCTCCATCTTTATGGGATGAAAGATCACTATGTTTTTACACTATGAAGTCAGCCGCGCAAAGAGTTGGACATTAGATGACTCTCAACATAACCGTGAGTTACACCTTGAGGATGCCTTGTGAACCAATAAAGCAACTTTGTATGGAAGCCTTTGTAGAGTTTGTCTGTCTCTCTTTATATTCAGTCAGCAATTAAAAGACAGAACAGCTTGCCTTTCGAAGAAGAACCGGAGGGCGACCAGCAGGAGAGCGATGGGGAGGCAGAGCAGGAGGTGATGGGGTTGTGGATAGCGGATGTCCTCCGTCTCCTGCATGTCCTCCCACGTGATCCCCGGAGGTAGCCAGTATTCCTGTCTCCAAAACCATGGCGTGAGCTGCGCCATCTCCCTGGGAAGAGAGAAGAAAGGCAGGAAGGTGAGATGGGGAACTGCAAGAGTCTTTCTGGAAGGAGGGTTTTAGAATAACAGAGTTGGAAGGGACCTTGGAGGTCTTCAAGTCCAACCCTCTGTTTAGGCAGGAAACCCTACACCCCTTCAGACAAATGGTTTTCCAAGCTCTGCTTAAAAACTTCCAGTGTTGGAGCATTCACAACTTCTCAAGGTTGTTCCACTGATTCATTGTTCTAACTGTCAAGAAATTTCTCCTTAGTACTAGGTTGCTTCTCTCCTTGGTTAGTTTTCCTCCATTGCTTCTTGTCTTGCACTCAGGTGCTTTGGAGAATAGCTTGACTCCCTCTTCTTTGGGGCAGCCCCTGAGATACTAACATCAAAAGTCATCAAAAAAGCACAACAAAGAATGTTCTTTCTGCACCAACGCAGAAAGCTCAAACTGCCCAAGGAGCTGCTGATCCAGTTTCTAAAGAGGAAGGATTGAGTCTGTCATCTGCACCTCCATAACTGTCTGGTTTGGTTCTGCAACCCAACAGGACAGACACAGACTTCAGAGGATAATTACGACTGCAGGAAAAACGATTACTACCAACTTGCCTTCCATTGAGGATCTGTATATTGCACGAGTCAAAAAGAGGGCTGAGAAAATATCTACAGACCCCTCACATCCTGGATATATAAACTGTTTCAACTCCTCCCCTCAAAACAACGCTATAGAGCACTGCACACCACAACAACTACACACAAGGACAGTTTTTCCCCGAATACCATCACTCTGCTAAACCAATAATTCCCTCAACACTGTCCAGCTATTTACAAAGTCTGCACTACTATTACTATTAAAGTCATCACTCCTTATCGCCCATCCCCTCCCACTTGTGACTGTATGACTGGAACTTTGTTGCTTGTATCCTTACATTTATATTGACTGTTTCCTAGTACGATTTGATTGCTCATTGTACCCTATGACTATCATTAAGTGTCGCACCTTATGATTCTCAACTCTTGATGAATGTCTCTTTTCTTTTATGGACACTGAGAGCATTTGCACCAAGACAAATTCCTTGTGTGTCCAATCACAC